TTTAACCACAGCGTTAAAAGTTAAATCATTCATCCAGCTCTACGCCTTGTTATCTCTGTAAAAATGAGGTGTTGGTGAATATGCAGCGCTTGCCTATTTGCAGGGCAAACAGCTCGTAAAAAACAGAGCCAATTGATCCCATAGTCAATGAAACATATCTAAGCTCTGCAGTGCTAGCACATCCAACTATGAGAGGCTGCAGACAAGTGAACAACTCATTGGAGGAGGAGGCTCCACAAATATCCCTGTCCTAAATAATGGATGAGACACCATATCAGTGCATTTGCAACAATATTCAGCCAGAAGTGCCATATGAATTATCCATTTCAGCCTCATGAGGTCCCCAGCATCACATATGCAAGACTTCAGCCAATTTGATTCACTCCACTTGATGTCAAGAAAAGACTGATGGCACTGAATACTATGAATCCCTGACAACATTTTTGCATCAGTACTGAAGATTTGTGCCCATTATCTTAACCAAGCTGTTCTAATCCAACTACAACACCTGTATCTACTTGATAATGTTGATAATTGTTCAGGTGTATTGTGTCCTTGAAAAACAGGACAAATTCAACCTGGCCAATTACTGCCAAATCTGTCTACTCTCTAGCATCAGAGAAATTGTGGAAAAGGTCATCTACAGTGTTATCAGGCAGCCATGTTCAGTAATAACTTTGGCTGGATGAGTGCCGCTGCAACACTCAAGTTCAACACCAACCACAAAACAGTCCATTTGACTCAGACCCCAGTCATCACTCAAAACATTCACTGTTGCCACCCAAACCACACAATGGCAGCAGTGTATACCATTTATATAACGTACTGCAGCAACCCAGTAAGACTCCTTTGTCAATACCTTCCAAACCAGTGATCATTACCATCTGAAACGACAAGATGTAAGACAGAACCACCATCTACATGTGCCCCTACAAGTCACAGACCATTCTGACTTAGAACTATATCACAATTCAATCACTATCATGAGGTTAAAATCCTGAAACTGCCTTCTTAACAGCATGTGGATCACAGAAGTTTAAGATGGACAGTTCACTACCACCTTCTCAAGAGCTGGGGAGAGGCAATAAATGCTGTTCCAGCCAACAACGGCCACATCCCTTAAACCGATAAAAGAACAGCTGCAGGATCATCTGTTTCAGTGTTTTATAGGAATGAATGATTTAACTTTTAACAGTAATGCATTTTTTCTTCAGTAAAGATGTTCTCACTGGCAAGTTTTTTTTGTTAGTTGGTTTGGAAATGGCACTTTTTTTTATCTTCAAAGTGACGGAAGGTATCAATAGGTACATATATATATCCACCATTTTCTCCAAGCACAGAATTTCAGACAACATTATTCAATTTGTACCATACACGATGACAATGTAGAGGAATAAGACCATAAGATATAGGAGCAGAAATTAGTCCATTTGGCCCATCGAGTCTGCTCTGCCATTCAATCATGGCTGATAAGTTCCTCAACCCCATTTTCCTGCTTTCTCCCCGTAACCCTTGATAATCAAGAACCTATCTATCTCAGTCTTAAATATACTCAATGACCTGGCCTCCACAGCCTTCTGTGGCAGTGAATTCCATAGACTCACCACTCTCTGGTTGAAGAATGAATGAACGTGTGAATGCTGCATTTTAAAAAATATTATGGGAAATGGTATTTACTATTTAATTCTGCTTTGGGACTTATATTACAATTAACCAACTCCGATTTGCATAGGTTGCAGATTATCTTGTAAATACCTTGCACTCAGTGTCCATGTAAAACAGATGCTGAATGTTTGATTTGATCTAATTTTACAAAAATATCTATTTTGTTCCCAAACAGTTGAAGAAAACCTGAGTAAGAGTTGCATCAAGTAGTCAAATCTTAATCCATTCATTGCATGCCTGCGCCCCAACGACAGGCCTTGACTAATTTATTGACTTTATTTGAACATGGCTCCATACCCTCTCCATCAGAAGGGAGGATCTACTTCTCCTTCTATAGTGACTGTGTCAGCTCATCTGCTATTCCATATTTTGGGACCTCTAGACACAGCTTTCCCAGTATGTATCAAACCTCTGCTCTCAACTTCAAAACTTAGACAACCTGTTGTTGCCCCTGTTTACTGCCCACAACAAAGACCTTGAACCATCAATGCTATCGACATTGGCTCCTATTACCCTACTGTCACTAATTTAAAATTGTCATTCTCATTAGATTCTTTCAGGTATCACTTTCCATGTGTCTGAAACCTGAAACATCTCTGTCCTCAAAGCTCTATTTACATCTGGCTTCTTGCACATCCTAACCTTTCTCCAGTCTGCCCTTGAAGGGTTTTAAATCTTTTAAACTACATACTCTAGAATTCATGCTTCAAATCTCTTTTCTAAGTCAATCCTCTTTAACCAAGCTACTGGTCACTCCACTTAAGATTTTAGCCTTCATTTGCTCAGCAACAATTTTTGCCTGAATATTCTCTCTGAAACACCTAAAGTTATAGAGCTGTACAGCATGGAAACAGACCTTTCGGTCCAACTTGCCCATGCCGAACAGATATCCTAAGTTAATCTAGTCCTTTTTGCCAGCATTTGGCCCATATCCCTGTAAACCCTTCCTATTCATATACCCATCCAGATGCCTTTTAAATGTTGCAATTGTACCAGCCTGCACCACTTCCTCTGGCAGCTCACTCAATACACACATCACTGTGTGAAAATGTTGCCCCTTAGGTCTTTAAAATCTTTCCCCTCTCACCTTAATCCTGCCCTGATTTGCCTTTCCAAAATGCAGCACCTCACATTTATCTAAATTAAACTCCATCTGTCACTCCTCAGCCCATTGCCCATTTGATCAAGATCCTGTTGTACTCTGGAGGTAACCTTCTTCACTGTCCACTACGTCTCCAATTTTGGTGTCATTTGCAAACTTACTAACCATACCTTCTATATTCACATCCAAATTATTTACATAAATGACAAAAAGCAGTGGACCCAGCACTGGTCCTTGTGGCACACCGCTGGTCACAGGCCTCCAGTCTGAAAAGCAACCCTCCACCACGACCCTGTATCCTACCTGCGAGCCAGTTCTGTATCCAAATGGCTAGCTCTCCTTGTATTGGAGATATCTTTATTTTAGAAAGGTACTCCATAAATGCATACTGATCATACTGGAGTGAAATATGCAGTGGAATCTCCTCACATGGTGTGAGGATCATTGTTTATCGTATATATAAATGACTTGGACCACGTTTGGTTAACTAGTTAGGAACATTGAACTATATAAAACTAGCGCCTTTAGAATCTTGAAAGATGACCCAGAGGGTGCTGGGGATCTGGAACACAATGCCTCAAAGTGCGATAGAGACAGAAACCCTCATAACATTTAAGAATATTTAGATATGCACTTGTAATGCCAAAGCAGACAAGACCATGGGCCAAGTGCTGGAAAATGGCATTAGAACAGCTAGGTGCTTGTTTTTGACCAGCACACACTTAATGGACCAAAGTCAAAGTCATTGAGGTCTACGGCATATCCAGTACTTTGAAACATTGACTCCCCTCATCACTGATGCACAAATTGCAACAGTGAAGAATCTATGATACCCCGCAGTAACTCATTAAGACTCCCCTGACAGCACCTTCCAAATCCATAACTTCTACTACGTAGAAGGACAAGCGTTGTGGACGCTTAGGAACACCAACCAGTCCCAGTGCAAGTTCTGCTCCAAAACAACTATCACTACCACTCCTTTATAATTGTGTCAATTCCTCGGATTCCCTCCCTAAATGTCAATTGGCTGCCCCTACAATAACATGAATCACAGCGGTTTCAGAAAGCAGTTCACCACTTTCAAAAGGACAATTAGGGATGGGCAATAAACATTGGTCTAGCAGTGAATCCCACATCCAATGAACGAGTAATAAAATTACTGACAAGGCTGTTGTAAAGTAGCATTGAGCTGGAAGGCTCCTTGTTAACTGCTATGACCACAATTGACAAGAGTCTCTGTGCTAAAATTTCAATATTTCTCTGATGATTGATCATCGCCAATGGATCAGCTCTAAGCTCTGCAGTATTGCCACATCGGGTTATTAATTTTGTTGGACAATTAAACAACTCACCAGAGGTGGCTCCAGAAATATCAACATCCTCAAATGGTGGTGAAGCCTAGTAATCAGTTCAAAAGATTTAGATTGTCGCAAATGCTTCAATCTTGAGTGGATCCTCCATCTTAGCCACCTGCAGAGGTCCATAACCAATTTAATTCATTTCATGTGATATCAAGAAATGGCTGGAGACACTAGATACTGCAAAGTCTACAGGCTATAGTACTGCTGCAATGGTACTGAAGACCTGTGTTCCAGAACAGGCTATGCCTAGTCAAGTTGTTTCAGTATAGCTACAACACTTGCATCTATCCAACAATGCGAAAGATTACCCAGTTATGTCCTGTCACAAAAATCAGGACAAATACAACTCAGCCAATTACCACCCCATCAGTAAAGTAATGGAAGGCGTCATGAACTGCATTTGTTTGGTAATCTGCTCAGTGATGCTCAGTTTGGGTTCTGCTCAGGCCACTCAGCTCCTGATGTCATTACAGCCTCAGTTCAAACATGGCCAGAAGAGCTGAATTCTGGAAGAGTGCTGAGAGACTGTTCTTGGCATCAATGCAGCACTTCATAGAATGTGACATCAAAAGAGCCCTAATAAAACTTGAATCAATGGGAATCAGGGAGAAAACTCTGCTGGTGGAATCACAACTGGCACAAAAGGAAATAGTTGTGATTTTTGGAGGTCAGACATCTCAGCTTCGGAACATCTTTTATGAGTTCCTCAACAGTGACGTAGGCCTAACCATCTTCAATTGTTTCAATTCCTTCATCATAAAGTTAGAAGTGGGGATGCTTCGCTGATAATTGCGCAACATTCAGTGCCATTCTTTGACTCCCCAGGTACTGAAGCAGTCTATTTATAAAAGCAGCAAGGCCAGGATAATATCCAGGTTTGTGCTGAAAATGTGGCAAGTAACATTCGCACCACACAATTGCCAGCTAATGACCATTGCCAATAAAAGAGCATCTATCCATTATCCCTTGGCATTCAATAGCATTGTCATTACTGAAACCACACAATCAACATTCTTGGGGTTACCATTAAACAGGAACTGAACAGCTACAAGAGCAAATCAGGGGCTAGGAATCTTACAGCAAGTAACTTCTTTCCTGACTCCCCAAAGCCTGTCCACCATCTAAATGGGACAAGTCAGATGTGTAATGGACACTCTCTAAATGCTTGACTGAGTGCAGCTCCATTAACTCTCAAGAAACTTGACACCAACCAGGATGAAACAGCCTGTTTGATTGGCGCCACATTCTCAAGTATTCATTCTCTTCACCATAGACAGAGTATCAAGCAGCTAGGTTTCCTGTAATTTTTTTTCTCCCTCCACCATGTGGACTTCCAAAATCCATGTGAGGCATTGTCTTCTGGAACGAGAGCCAATGTGTCACCATGCCAATCAATACGCATGGAACCTCCTAGCAGCTTAGAGGGAGCATTGATCATCAGTATGTACCATCTACAAGAGGCACTTCAGAAATCCACTGAAGATCTGTAGACAGCACCTTCCACACTTAAGACCACTACCATCTAGAAAGACAAAAAAAAAGTAGCAGATACATGGGAACACCATCACCTACGAGTTGCTCTCTAAGCAACTCACGAATCCTGACTGAGAAATATATTGCCATTCATCCAGCATCACAGTCAAATTCCCATAACTCCATCCCTAACAGCATTATGGTTCTACTCACACCACACTCAACTGCAATGTTTCAAGAAGGCAGCTAACCACCACCCTCAAGGGCAACTAGGAATGGGCAATTCATGCTGTCCCAGGCAGCATCACCCACATTCCATGAATAAATAAAAAAATTAAAACAGACTTAAAAACAAGTCTCAATTGCAAAACTTTAAAAATCTTAAAATGTAAAATAGACTGTATAAACTTCTCTTTACAAATAAGAACAAAATCTCAATAGATGTGACACATCAATGACAATCAAAGTTTTTTTTTAAAAGAATGTTTTATTTGAAATAGAACAGCAACAGTACAATTAAGAGGGTAATAAAATCAAACATCACTCCAAATCAAAATTGAGATTCTACCTGCATGGTACTTTACTTCCACACAGTGATATGTTCCAACGACCAATAGATTTCCAGGCACAAAGACTAAAATTAAGGACGGTTGTTTCCTGCTGAGAGTTCTATCAAATTTGTTGGTGGTGTTGGAGGGGTGGGGAAGGTAGAAAAATTGTTGTGAAATCAATTACTTCACACAGGTCCATGGTAAATCAAATCTGCTGTGGCCCTTTTGGGCAATAGGATACATTGTTTCAAAAAGAAGATAAGAAAATCAGTAAAGAAATTAAATATCAAGTAGTACAATGAAACATTGCAATTTAAAGCCTGAAACCGTTCAAGGTCTTTGAAAATCTACTTGGAGTAAATATGCAAAATTCTAATGAAAGAGGTAGGAGGAACTAAGAGTTATTATTGGGATACAAGTTGTGCAAACTCAGCAGCTAAAACTAAGCATTATTTTTGTTTACAGAGGAGATTCTTAAGAAAGTGTGGCTACCATCAAAGCTCGTTTCAGCTGTTCATATGTAATAAACATCACTATGTTCCAGGACCCCAGACGTAGAAATGATGGCATAAACCTGGAATTAAATAATAATCAGATTTAAGTGATAGTACAAACATGCATGGGTATACATTCAAACCATATTTGCTACACTTATTGCATGCAGCAAATTGGATATAAAAACTGTATTTCATGCAAACATCCCCTTAAGATTTTAAGATGATTATTCTGGATGCCAATAACTGGAATCCACATTAAAGTCAGATCTTAAACTCAAGAAAAATTGCAGAAGTAGGAAGCAGCTAAATTTTAAACAAGTATATAATTAAAGTGATGGAATTAATCAATAACATCAAGGAGATCCCCAACCTTTATCAAAATTCTCTCCACTTTTCACCTTTCAGCCTCTAACGAAGAGAATTGTTGATTTTGATGTACTCTCTAGCTTCCTTATTTTTGCTTTCAATTACTGAGATTCAGTCCTCATTTTGCTAATATGTACTGCCCTGAATTAGAGTATCAATTAAAAGGATTAAAGTAGCAACATCCACTAATTATTGCAACCCCAAGCCAGCACTTTTCTTCTCAAAATTACAGACAATAAATGATGATCCCTTACCCTTTATAGAAGGCTGTAAGACCCTCCTTTGTAAACATGGTTACTGCACAGTTGATTGCACTTCTGTATTGGCCAGGGGCAGAGTTCATGTATCTTGTCTTCACTACATCAACAGGCGAAGCGATAATAGTTGTGCAGAATCCAGCACCAACAGCAGAAGAGAAATGGCATGGAAGGTTATCTGTAGGGAAGATATTAAAACTTTGGCTGAAAAATATTTTTGGCATCTATTCAGTTCAATAATAAATTTTAGGTCAAGTGATTTCAATGGGAACATTCCTCCCATTGTTTTAGGGCCCGTTAAATAAAAACAGAAATGTTTCTGAGAAACTGAAGAGAATTGTACATTGGGTTTAAATTACAAAGACAAGTCCCATAAAATGCCATCAATTCGGCTCTCAGCATTTCCTATTAAACAGATTATTTATTGATAACAATTCCTCATGTAGCCCACAGGGAATCAAACAAAGCACTCCAAATGCAATGGCATCACTGACCATCTACTTCAAAAAAGTCTCTATCTCCACCTTTAGGTAGTTAATTCCTATTAGGTGTAGCTTTTTTTTTTTACAAAAAGGTTACATTCCTCTGGTTACTGTAGCTAAACAGGCCTTTGAGGAGAGAAGCACATTTCACTCATAAGACCATAAGAAACATGAACAGGAGTAGGCCATTCAGCCCCCCGCGGCTGCTCCACCATTCAATAGGATCATCGCTGTTCCAATATTCCTTGCACCCAATTTGCTGTGTTTTCCCATAACTCTCTACTGCCACACTGATCAAGAATCAAGTTATGTATACACGGATGTCTGTACATCTACCTCAGCCTTATGTGCCCATTCTGTAGGAAAGAAACACGAGACTGAATTTTGCTTGTTGGAGAGAGAACAAGCGCCAAACTCTTTCCAAGTCCTTAATGTGTTGAGACAGCACGCGAGAGAAATCTCAGAATAAGGGGTCGCCTATTTAAGACAAAGGTGAAGAGGAATTCTTCTCTCAGAGGGCTGTGAATCTGTGGAATTCTTTACACCAGAGGGATCTCAAGGCTGGGTCATTAAGTACGTTCAAGGCTGGGATAAATAGATTTTTAAACAGCAAGTGAATCAAGGGCTATGGGGAAAAAGACAAGAAAGCATAGTGGAGGATTCTCAGATTGGACATGATTGTATTGAATGGTAGACTTAACCCGATGGAATCAATGGCCTACTTATGCTCCTACATCTGACAGTCTTATGGTCCATTCTTGGGATTCTTTCTGTCTTCTGCTGTAGTCACAAATTTAAAATGCTTGCTTTTCATTATTAATCCCTTAGTCTCACCCTCTAGGGGACCAATATTTATTTTAGCTACTCTTGTCCTTTTTATATGCTTGTAGAACTCAATGTCTGTTTTCATATCTTTTGCTACTCTACTCTCATATTCTAACTTCTCTCTTTATTTTTACAAGTCATTCCTTGTTTGTTTCTAAACTTTCCGCAATCTTCAGGCCTACTACTAAATCCCGACAGCATGCTCTGACTTTTCTTTCACTTGATACCATCCTTAACTTCCTTAGTTAGTCCATTGACAATTTCTGGGGTAATCAGTAACAAACAAAAAAAAAATTCTTGCATAAATTTTGTTTTAATAACAGGACCAGTTATGGTAACAATTAGGTTATGCTTAAAGTACCCATTAGTAAGTCACCAATGGATCATCTGATTTGTGCACACATTTCAAAGTACAAGCTATATCCATGATTTAGGAACTGCTTATACCACACAGCAGAGATACATTTGGAGCAGTACTGGGTCGTTTACAGGCTAAAAATCACATTAGATTTCAAAGGTAAGTTACACACTTTAAACACAATATGGTCAAAACTACCATTCAGTTTCATTTTTGCTGGATTGATAAACTGAATGGATTACTTCTTACACAAACTTAACTGCATTCAATTCAAATTTAAATTCCTCAATTAAACCGCAGTTTACAGTAGATAACATTCCAATATGTAAGCAAAAGGGAATCTCTTCCAACACTTACCACTCAACAGACCATTTTTCATCAACAGATCCTTGATCAGATCATAGGTAACAAGCTCTGTACAGTTCACGATGGCATTACGAGCAATATTTGGAAAAGTGCCTGCAGAAACAGTTAAATGTTGACTTTAAACGATATTCATAAACAATTTATAGATTCAGAATTTCCAATATTATATGTTCAGGTCCCAACATCTTCTTCAACATAATAGAAATGGTGCTGATTGTACTTCTGATAACTATGAACCATCAGCAGCAATACAATCATATTCTACTTAAACCTACCACCTTGTGGTCCAGAACATCCTCCAGTCTGTCATGATCATCAAGCTGAGAGATCAACCCTGATTCAAATGGAGAATGCAGGAGGGCACGTCAAGAGCGACACTGGGCACACTTAAAAATGAGGTGTCAACCAAGCGAAGCTATAAAACAGGTCTACTTGCATGTCAAGTGCAACAGACAGGGCTAAGCAAGCCCACAACCAATGGATCAGATCCATACTCTGCACTCTTTACACATACAGTTGTAAATAGTGGTCAATAATTAAACAGCTAACAGAAGGAGGAGGCCAAATATTCCCATCCTCAAATGATGAGAGAACCCAGCACATCAGTGCACAAGATGAGGGTGAAGTATTTATATCCAATTTTAGTCAGAAGTACCAAGTGGATGATCCATGCCTTCCACCAGGAGGTCCCCCGGATCACAGATGCCAGTCTTCAGCCAATTCAATTCACACCACTCGATTCTGGCACTGGATTCTACGAAGGCTATGGGGCCCTGGAAATATTTTAGCTATTCTGCTCCAGAACTGGCTTCACCCCTCACCAAACTGTCCTAGTACAGCTACAACAGTGGCATCCACCCAGCAATGTGGAAAGTTGTCCATAAATGGCAAGCTAAGGTTAACCAGGTCAATTATCACTGGGAGAATTTGATTGAGCATGGAGACATACATAACAGAAAGGAAGATGGTTGTTGTTTCAAATCAAACACCACAGTCCCAAGTCATCTCTGCAGGAGTTCCTTAGGCTAGTTTCCTCAGATGAATCATTTTCAGCTCCTTCATCAATGACCTCCCCCCGCCCCACTTCACTGTATCAGAAACGGGGACGTTTGCACATGATGACAATGTTCAGCACCTTTCCTGAGACCACAGACACTGAAACAGTCCATGTCAAGATGCAACAAGACTTGGACAATCTGGACCTGATAGGTGGCAAGTAACATTCATGCCATGCAAATTCCAGGCAATGGCCATCTCCAATAAGACAGAACATAACCATTATCCCTTGATGTTCAATGTCACTGCCATCACTGAATCCCTATTATCAACATCCTGGAAGTTACCTTTGGCCAGAAACTGAACTGGCCAGGGAACATATTCAAACTCTGATTACAAGAGCAGGTCAAGGGTTGGAAGCTTGCAATGAGTGCTCACCACATGACTCCCCAAATCCTTTCCATCATCTACCAGCCAGATGTATGATAGAATACTGTCCACTTACCTGGTAACCCATCAACCACCTTCAATATTCACTCCCTCCACCATGACACAGTACTAGAAGCAGCAGTATGTACCATCTACTTGGTGTATTGCAGAAAATCAATCAGGCTCCTTTGCCAACACCTTCCAAACTTGTCACCTCTACCACCTTGGAGGGACAAGCATAGCTGATGCAGAGGAATATCAATACCTTCCATTTCCTCTTCAAGTCCCACAGCATCTAAACTTGGAAATATATTGCTGTTCCTTCATTGAAATTGTGACATAAATCTGAAACTCGCTTCCTAACTGCAGTGTGGGTCTAAGGACTGCACAGGTCAGCATCACCTTCTCCACAGCAATAATGCTGGTGCAGCCAGTAATGCCCAAATCTCACAAACAAATAAACAAGAACAAAAACAACAGATCCATAACTTCAAGTGCAAGGTCCAGTGCTCAATGCTGAACAGTCAGGATTGTGGAAGTTGTACTGAGGGACAGTCCTCAAAAGGACCTGGAGTTCTGTTATGTATTCTTAGCACTGAATATCAAAATCTCAGCTTAACTCTCAGAGTACAGTTATAATGTTTCATCCCACATCACCAATGGTCCCACTTGTATTGAATTCAGCAGCTTTATTTGGTAGATAGACATTTTTCTAATGAACCTGTTCAGAGATGTTATGACACACCTCTGGAACAGGTGGGACTTGAACTTGGGTCTCCTGGCTCAGAGATAGGCACATTACAACAGCCCCTCAGCGCTATTTGCTACAACAGTTCCAAAGACTCAAGAAACCTGACAGGAGAGGCCATTCTTCTCCTTAGTGAAGTGAGGCGGACGCAGTAAAAGACACCAAATTTCTGTGAAAAATGCTGCCAATAACAACTTGATAATCCAATTCTGCAAAATATGCAATGAGATTTCAGCTTGGGAAATAGGAGTACTGATTTGTCATTTCCGCTGCATAAAAAAGTTAAAGTCCCACAGAACCATGGGTCTGCTTTCTCATTAGACAGAGATGACCGGTTTAACCAGAGGGTCACCACACCTTGGGCAAGTGGCAAGGGTGTGAAGGCAGGACCTCCATGACAACCTCAATGCAGAATAGAGCAGAATTTTTAAACAGCTTGCGGGCATGCTCCTGCTGCAGGTATACTTTCACAGAAGATGCATTGGAAAGAGAGTGGGTGGGTGCTGACATTTACCTAGCCTCGAAAGGCAAGGAGCCACTTGCAAGTGCCTATTGAAGCTGCTCTGGACTTACTCAGATGGTGTCATGCTAAGGACAATGCCCAGTTTGATACATCCCAGTGGCAGGCTGGGGGGCCAATCAGAGGCAGGTTTTCCCTGCACAAACACAACATGGATGTAGCCACGTTTTAAGCAATAACTTTCTAAAGCAAAGAAGAGTGATGGGATGACAATGACGTAGCAGTAAATGTCTGTGGACTAGTCATCCAGAGAGCCAAGCAAATGCTCAGGAACATGGGTACAAATCTCACCAGGGCAGCTGATGGCATTTAAATTCAATGAATTAGTGATTCCAAGCTAGTCTCAGACAATGGGGATTGTTAATTGCAAAACTATGGTCTTTAAAAACCCTGCCAATTGACCAGTGCCCATTAGGGAACGGAACATGTTGTCCTTACCCAGTCTAGCCTACATATGACTCCAGACCCATAGCAATGTTGGAAATTCTTAACTGTCCCCAGAACTGACCTAATGATCCACTCAGGAATGGGCAACAAATACTGACCTTGCCAACAATGCCCACACCTTATCAAACAATAAAGAAGAAATAAAAAAGTTCACAGATGGGGCTCTCTGATTAAAAGGGATGGGGCTACTGGAGGTGGCCTGTTAATTGTCAGCCTCTTTCAAAGTCTGCCTTTCCCTGCTGGCAGCCATTCCGGATTCATTCCCAATGGTAGACCTGGGAATCAGGAATGAATACGCAGTTCCTAGTTTCTGAACTTTTTCATTATTCTTTCATGGGATTGTGGGCATTGCTGTCAAGGCCATCTTTAAATGCCACTGAATTGAGTGACTTGCTAATCCATTTCAGAGGGCAGCTAGGAGTCCACCACATTTATATTTGTCTGGAGTCACACAGGCCTGATAAAGGTAAAGTGGGCAGATTTCCTTCTCTAAAAGAAAAAGGACATTAGTGAACCTGATGTTTCTATGTTTACAACAAGCAACGATAGTTTTGTGGTCATCATTGCTGAGACAAACTTTTTAGTTCCAAATTCTATTAACTACATTTAAAACTTCACCAGCTGTCATGATGGGATTTGAACCAGCATCGTCACAGCATTAGTCTGCACCTTTAGATTACTATATAGTGACATTACAACTATACCACCATCTCATCATAGAATAAAATCCCTACAGTGTGGAAACAGGCCATTTGACCCAACAAGTCCACACCGATAACAAAAACAGAAGTTGCTGGAAAAGCTCAGCAGGCCTGGCAGCATCTGAAGAAAAAAATCAGAGTTAATGTTTCGGGTCCAGTGACCCTTCCTCAGTCCACACTGACCCTCAGAGCATCCCACTCAGACCCATCCCCCACTTAATCTAAACTATGGGTAATTTAGCATGGCCAATCTGCCTAGTCTGCACATCTTTGGACTGTGGAGGAAACTGGAGCACCTGGAGGAAACCCACGCAGACACGGCGAGAATGTGCAAACTCCACACGAACAGCCGCCTGAAGCTGCAATTGAACCAGGGTCCCCTGGCGCTGTGAGGCAGCAGTGCTAACCATTGAGCCACCGTGCTGCCCAAATTTTAAACAAATACTCCTCGAAGACAACTGAAAGAAAAAGTTAAAGTACTGGCGATTAAAATATGCTGATCCAAAATAAAATTAGAACTGCAAGATACATACCTTTCCATAATCCACGAACACCTTCTTCCTTGGCAATTGTTTTATAGGCTTCGATGGTGCTGTTATATCTTCTGTTTGGACTAGACAGATTTGCTTGTGCTTGAAATCTCACTTTCACCACATCAGTTGGTTGGGCAAAGGCCACAGCCATGGCTCCTGTGGTACAACCAGCAAGTAGGCGGCTTCCAACACCAACATCTAAAATAATTCAACCAGCCATGAAAAATATATAGTCTACATGATCAATTTATTTTAACCAGCCAAAATCAAAAAGTGAATATTTGGTTTAGAAATTTTCTTTTTACTCATTTTCAATATTAGGGAGGAGGACAAACGCATGTGTGGTGTTTGAATGTAGACCAAATGCAGATACCAAAACACTGCTTCATCTTCAGGTTTCCTTGTAATTCACATACACTCAACCAGCTGTTGTTTCATCACTATTTCCACTTATGGAGAAAAGCTGCTTCATGTCGACGTCAGCGTGCTGTTGCTGCTCTTTGCTCTTGCTGAATCACAAGAACACAAGAGACAGGAGATGGTTCCTGCAGAGGTTGTCCCACGACCATTCAGTATGATCTCAGCTGATCTTAGGTTTCAACTTTGTTTTCCTGCGCACTTACTACTGCTCTCCTCACAGACCAAAAATTGGCCAAAGTTGCCTTTAAAAATATTCAGCAATGGAGGATCCACAACAGTTTTTAAATAGGCAATTTCAAAGATTCAAATTTCAAAGATTCATAACCAACTCTTCCCCATCTCAATCCTAAATGATCATCCACCTATTCTGTTCTGAGAATGTGTCCCCATGTTCTAGAGTGAAGGTAAACACACTCCGTGTCCATCTATTGATCCCCTTCAGTTTTACATATTTCAAATGGATCGTCTCCCATTCTTCCAGATTCCAGGATCACAGGCCCAATTTGCTGTACCTCTCAATGTATGACAACCTCTCATTCCAGGGACCAATCAAATAAAAGTCTGCTATACCACCTCCAAAGTATACCTTCTTTAAATATTGAGACTCCAAATGGCACAGCTGTACCCAGATGTGGTTTCACCAAAGCCCTACACAAGTGCAGCACGACATCTTCAGTCCTGTACTCCTCTTGCACTCAAGGCCAACATGCTATTTGCCCATCTAATCAGTTGTTGTACCTGCTAACCAACTAAGTCTCTCTGAACTTGAGCATTTACAAAGATTTATTCTAAAAAAAAGTTCCCCTTTTGTATTTTATGACCAAAGTCAACAATCTCCTCATTATATTCCATCTAACTATGTGCAGCCTGGTGTCCTCTTCAAAGCTTTCATTTCACTTAACTTTCCATTATCAGCAAGCTATTTGTGACCCAGAGGTTAATCAACTGGATTCACCAGGCTTAGATTTCCATGTCTTTAAGGGGAAAAAATAAAGTCTTAGAAGTGACCAGATGTAGAAAATTTAGTCATGATTTCACTGGGTGTTGCCAGGCATGCAAGGAAATTGACTCAAGAAGTGAGTGCGCAAAAAGTACCTGAAATCAATAATTTTTAAAAAGTCAAAATAATCAGCCTGTGCAATCTAAAATTGGAATACTGTAGACTGCTCAGTACCTAGTCTTTCCCAGACTGGTATGACATTACAGTCACAAATACATTTTGATTTTCTTCACCCCCAAATCAAATTAGGGCCCTCATCCTGTATCCTCTAGTGTAATTAGGAAGTTAGTTAAAATTGGATTGAAAAGTATCCAGGAGACTGCTGTATCTGGAGAATCAGGCATCCTCCCGTTATTAAATAGCGTAAACAACTCAAGATATGAAATTTTGCGAGTTAATTGCAAGCCATACTTACGTTCAGATCCTTTGGTATAAAACTGTTTCACAGAATCATAAAGTCCAATGCGCACTGAAGCAAAACTCATCTGACGTTGAAGACCAGCTACCAGACCACTGTAGAGACTTCTCGGTCCCTCAGTCTTGACCATTGTAGTTATGGTGCCAAAGACACCTCTATACTTTACGGTGGCCACTTCTGCAGCAGACTTCAATTCTCCTTGAATCTGTGCAGGACAAAAATCGGATGAACAGGCGATTTATGAGATTTGGGGTCAGCCCAACTCTCATGTAGACTAGTCTAACACTTAGGCATCCCAGATCCAGCACTTGGTCATCACAGGGTATTTCCAGCTTGGGACTTGTAAACTGTTATTTGTAAAAAAAAATTACATATATAGAAATATTGTGAGTAGAGGTTTGAGCAGAAAGTTTCAAAATTTCATCTCATTGTTAGTAAGTGAGGCCAAAAGTGGGCAATGTAGCACAGGCACTAAACACCAAACAGAGAGAAGAATCAGCAGATACTAGAATGACATTTCCAATTGTTAATATATTGACAGATAAAAGTTAGAAGGTAGTGACATTGGTTTATTTGAGAGAGAACAGCATTCTGTGTCAAATCCCTACATTTACACTGCTAATAATGGGTCTCTTATGATGGCACACAATCAGAGGCTTGGATGATGGCTTTAGCAGTGTTAACTCCGAAAAGTGGGCGATATAATGGTTCTCGCCAAATCTGGACCAAGTAAACCCCCATGCATTCTTAGAGACACTGGAAACATGTAAGCCTATCCAGCAAATATTGCCAAGAAACATTCAGTGCTTTTGGTACATTTTTAAAAAAAAGTTAGTGAAATTCATTGAAAATGTTACTGCGAAGGCTGAAAGTGGAGAATTCACAACAATGCATCAGATCAAGTCAGTTGGTATGCCAATGTCTATGCTGGTCCAAGCCACAGACTTACACTGCACATTGCTGAGAACTTACCTGTAGTCTGACTTTAGCAGTGTCCAAAGGGAAGGTGAACACGTCAGCGATGCAAGCGGCTGTTCCAGCACCAATAAATTTCACCGCAGCTGTAGGAGGAACATCTGTGGGTTTGAATCCAACCATTTTGAGAAACGGTACGATTTAGCAGTGAGTAACGAGAAATGTCAGGGAATGCAATATAGTGATCAAGAAGACAAATGCACTCTGCCCGAACCTGTGAATAAACAAAACAATTGTTCAGTCTCTACACCCAGTTTATCAATCTGTGATGATTACACAATGATAGGGAAAATTAATTCCCCATCTGGGATCAAAAGGAATTGCTATTATAATCCAGAGCAAATTTGGGAAGACACGACTTAACCTTAGTATTGGAAAGAACAATGACTAAAAAACCTGTGTGTTACAGCACTTTTGCAGCAATATAAATAGAAATTGTTGTGGCATTCATGGCAAGTCTTGTCAAACTTAATCTTGAGATGCCAAAAAAAAAAGAGATTGGTTACATCTTATGGACTTGTCACACACCTCATGATTCCTGGCACATGCCCATGAACAGACAAAATGAAGGATACCGACCAAGATGAAAAAGTAAAGAGATAGATTTCAACTAAGTTGTCAAAGCTACATTTTCACTGTAGTTTCATATGAGCAAATCTGAGCCCGAAAGTACACATTTTGAACTTGTCATGGTCCGAACTCTGAATTCTAAATTGGCAACCATGTGTGTGTGCATGAGCGAGAGACAGAGAGACAGACAGCATGAGCGAACAACTAAGCGAGCGCAAGGGTGGGGAAGAGAGAGAGTCTGCCTTCAATTTTTTCCCTCCCATCATTAGCCCATAAAATACTCCTGCCGAAGGGGTAACCTTATTGGCTGCCCAAAGGCAGAAGCCAGTTAGACAGCAAGTCAGCTACAAACCATTACACTACTTCAACACTACTCCACAAGGGAAGCAAGACCATTACACTTAGCAAATGTGAACAGCCCAGGAATCTTTCAAAAAGATTACTTTTAGAGGACAGAATTGCAATTTTTGCAAGTTCTCTTTTATTATTAGGATTTTTTTTTGGAAAAACAAATCACTTTTGCCTTTGACAAATTGATCTTCTCTGGCAACCATACACATTACTTAGCTCCAGTCAACCATTTTTGTTCAGTGGGAAAAAAATCCTGGAATTCCCTCCCCAAGGGCATTGTGGATCTACCAGCACATGGACTGCAGTGGTTCAAGGCGGCAGCTCACCACCTTCTAATGGGCAACAAGGGAAAGGCAATAAAAAAAGTTTCTGTCCAGCAATGTACAGATCCCATGAGTGAATAAAGAAAAATCACAACTTCCTTTTCCTTTTTTCAAATTTAGAGATTTTAAGAAAATACAACTTTTAATGAACTAGCAAATATTTTGCACAAAGCAACTTTGCAATAACAGACCATAAAGTTAATACCATTGGGTTCCATGAGCCTTTTGAATCCAAATTCCTGCTCTTTAAGTTAATTATGTTTTGGTTTGTGATTGCAACTAACATTCATTGGCACAGAATGATGGAGCATGTACAGGCTCAACTGCCACCTGCCCCAGAGATGTGTTGTAACATATCAGAACAGGTTGTTTAAAACAAAATCTGTCATCAGTCAGCCCAAGCTTGTCTAGGTCTTCCTCTGGGATGGCAGAGACTGATTTACTATGGGCTCTTGTGGCACAATGATATTATCCCTGAACTGGAAGGCCCCGGTTCATGTCCTACCTGCTCTAGAGATGGGTCACATCACTTCTGAACAGATTGATAAAAATGTCTAGAATAGTGGAGCACAGGATGCCATTTAACCCATTAATCGGTGTGCCAGCTGTTTCAAAAGCAATTCAGCTAGCTGCGCTCCCTCTTCTCCCAAATCCTTGCAACTTTTTGCCTCTTTTGCATTTATCCAATTCCCTTCTGAAAAGTTCAACTATATCCATTTCCATCACATAAAACTTTAAAACACCCTTGCAAGAAACAATATAACCCCATTCGCCTTCTGAATCACTCGATGTACACGTATACCAACTCTGCTCTGGGCTGAGCAACTCCAGCTTCTCTAGACTACCATGTAATTGTAATCCTTCACTCCTGAATACATTCTGGCAAATCCCCTCCATGCCTTCCAACAGTAGGGAAGCTTTTAGGAGAGTGATTGTGAGTGTATCATAAGGTTTATGACGATGATAGAAAATGACATTATTCTTTCTTTAGGTTGACCAATCAACTAGTAGAGTCAACTTCAATGAGGCAAGAACAGAGTTGAGCTGGAAGTTGATGTGAAAAGCAGTATCTAAACAACAAGTAACTCCAAAGACAAAATGATTTGGGCACAGTTGAGGTCTCAAAAAGGGAAAGAGCTTTCTGGGTAACAAAGGGCTTAGAAATTAGGTTAAAAAATAAAGTGTGCTCACCACAGGTGCCAGGTTGTAAATACAATTCTGAACCAAGATGAATAAAGAAGGTTCAGAAGGTGATGAAATAGCAAAAACAAGAAGCAATGGAGAGATTATATAAAAAAAAGACTGGCAACTAACAAAGGGAAACCTGAAAATCTTCTGTAAAGCACATCAATCATTAAAGAAGCAGTAGGGCTCATTAGAGGCCAAAAAAGGGGATTCACACTTAGCCCCAGGCACTGCTTTTGTGTAAGAGTCTATTTTTAACACCCAGGATCTGAGCTGTTTTTTCCAATCTGTCCTGAGACTTTCGAAGATTTGTACACAAACAATCCCAGGTGTGTGTTTTTGCATCCCCTTTAAAACTGTACCATTTAACTTGCATTGTTTATCCAAATTCACACCTATGTTACAAAGTTTCACATTTACCAGAATGTTTCCTGGATTGAATGATTACAGTTACATGGAAGTTTCACATCACCCGCAGATTTTCAAAAACTTGGGAGTGGAGTGTACTATTAAAATCATCAATGTACATCAAAAAAAATGGCAAAACTGGTCTGATTATTGAACTCTAGGTCAGGTCGGCAAATTCCTACTTCAGTCCAAAAAAACGTGTCATGATGTTTTCACCTGTTCAACCAATTCAATGGATTCACAATTGGCTTGATGGTAGGAAGCACAGGGTAATAATGGAAGGATGCTTGTCTGACTGGAGGCCTGTGACTAGTGGTGTGCCTTAGGGGTTCTGTGCTAGGCCCATTGCTGTTTGTTATCTATATCAAAGATTTGGATGAGAATGTACAAGGCATAATTAGTAAGTTTGCGGATCACACTAAAATAGGTGGTATCATGGACAGTGAGGAAGGTTATCAGAAATTGCAGCAGGATCTTGATCAGCTGAGCAAGTGGGCCGAGAAATTGCAAATGGGAGTTTAATATAGACAAGTGTGAGGTGTTGCATTTGGGAAAGTCTAATCCAAGTAGGAATTCCATAGTGAATGGTAAGACCTTAAGGGGTGTGGTGGAAGAGAGGGACCTTGGAGATCAGATGCACTGTTCTCCAAGAGTGGAGTCACATACAGACAGGGCAGTGAAGAAGGCTTTTGGCACTCTGGCCTTCATCAGTCAGGGTATTGAGTATAGAAGTTGGTAAGTTATGATGCAGTTGTACATGACGTTGGTGAGGCCGCACTTAGAGTAATGTGTTCAGTTTTGGTCACCTTGCAATAGGAAGGATTTAAACTGGAAAGAGTGCAGAAGAAATTTACAAGAATGTTGCCAGGAATCAAGGGACTGAGTTATCGGCAGAGGTTGGACAAGATAGGACCTTTTTCTTTAGAGCGTACGAGACTGAGGGGGGGGGGGATCTTGTAGAAGTGTATAAATGCACTCAGTCTCTTTCCCAGGCTCAGGGAATCAAGGACTAGAGGGCATCAGTTTAAGGTAAGAGGAGAAAGAATACATGGCAACTTGAGGGGCAACTTTTTCTACACAGAGGGTGATACACATATGGAATGAGCTGCCAGTGGAAGTGGTTGAGGCGGGTACATTAACAACATTTAAAAGGCATTTGGACAAATACACGATAGGAAAGGTTTAGAAGGGCCAAGTGCAGGGAAATGAGTTTAGCGTGGATGGAGATTTTGTTCAGCACGGACCAGTTTGGGCCAAAGGGCCTGTCTCCGTGCTGTAAGACTCTATGACTTTCCAGTTAAAGGTGGTGCGAAAAGAAGATTAAAAACAAGGAAGGATTTTTTTTAAACAATTTGGAACTGCATCAGAACAATTGTGTAGTTATTGTCCTGGCAGAAGATCAAAAGATCATTTCTCAGGGCTCTGAGATCTTGTCTGAAAAATCTGCCTCCTTTGCACGTAAACAAGCATGATATCTTGACTAACACAAAGGATCATAAAACTTTGTTTGCAATTGGTTTGTACAGGTACTGAATTTGACTAGATTTTAATGAATGCCTGGAATGCCAATTAGATCCAGTCTGTCAACACTAAAATCAGAAACAAAAAAACAGAAATTGCTAGAAAAGCTCAGCAGGTCTGGAAAAATCTGTGGAAAGGAATCAGAGTTAATGCTTCCAGTCCAGTGATCCTTCTTCAGAACTAATTGTAACGAGGCAAATGTTGATGATGGGGTGGTTGGAGGGGAGTAAGGGATAGGTGGAGATGGAGTCGACAGAGAGAGAGAGAGCGAGCAAGCACAAGCGCAGTTTGACAGACAAAAGAAAGAATGGGTCAAAGTCAGCCTGGGAGAATCAAAGCTGCTAATAGGAACTATTTGTGGCTAATAATGGGTTGCTTGTGGTAGCAGTCCATGTGATGATAAGGCCTGGTGTGTGGGGGTTGGGGTAACAACATGGGAGAAGGTGCTCAGGCCCTAAAATTATTGAACGCGATATTGAATCCTGAAGGCTGCAAGGTCCCCACTTCAACACACCACTGTGTTCCCTGGTCAATGTCCCAGTCTCAGGTTTGCTGCAGTGGTCAAGCGAAGCTCAGTGCAAGCTGGAAGAACAGCATTTCATTTTCTGCTTGGGAACCCTGATTACCCCAGGCTGACATTTACCAATTCTTTTGTCGGCCCAACTGTTTCTCTCTCTCTCTCTCTGGGTTCTGTTTTCATCTATTGTTTACTCCTCCACCCACCCCTCCAACCCAAATTCTGCTTTATCTCCACAGATGCTACCAACACTGAAATCAGGCCAATCTCATCATCAGGAAGGAGAAGGTGAAGGATAGAGAAAAATAAGTCCAATTAAAAGGATCGTAACAGGTACTG